CAGGACACCCTGCACCCCACGGGGTGGGCAGCCTGACCATCGGGGCTCCTCCAGGACACCCCGCACCCCACGGGGTGGGCAGCCTGACCACCAGCCTTGGCGCCCTGCCTCTGGCTCTGGCCTCCAGCCTGCGGGGTGGGCAGCCTGACCACCAGCCTTGGCACCCTACCTCTGGCTCTGGCCGCCAGCCCAAGGTCACTCCGGAGCTCCTTGGGGAATTCTGCTGCCCCCCTGGTCACTGCTCTGAAGACAACAGAAGGATTCCCATTGGTAGCTCAAGACCCAGCAGCTCCAGCCGAGGGGATGCACTCAGGGGGCTCCTCCAGGACACCCCACACCCCACGGGGTGGGCAGCCTGACCACCAGCCTTGGCGCCCTGCCTCTGGCTCTGGCCTCCAGCCTGAGGTCACCCCGGAGCTCCTTGGGGACTGCTGCTGCCCCCCCTGGTCACTGCTCCCCAGGCTGCCCCAGCTCCAGAAGAGGCTGGGCTGGGGGATGTCCTGCTTCCTCTCGAGAAGGCATCCAAGAAGCAGGAGGCAGCCCCGCTCTAAAGCCTCCCCCACCACCGTGAGGTGAGAATCGGGAGAAAAACGCAGAACTCGTGTGCCTGAACAAAGGCGGTCTGCGAGACAAACCAAGGGAAGAGGAAAACAATGAAAGTAACATGGATAGAGGAGGCACCATGCTGGCCGAGGCACCAGCGCTGGCCGAGCTCCACGCCCGGGCCTACCCATGGATGCCCATGGTGTCAGCCACCAGGAACCAGGCCCCGCACTCTGCCCAGCAGTGGTGGGGCCGCAAGGGGCTGGAAATCACTGTGGCCATGGCCAGCAACTGACAGCGACACCAGTCTGACCAGCACTTGGTGCAGGAGGCTGTGACAGGAGGCCGACAGACTGACAAGGGTCTGTGGGGTAAGGGATCATCTGGCCCTGGACCTCCTCCAATGGGCATCCCCAGGCTCACAAGCCTGACAAGCAAGTGTACTGGAGGGAAAAGAACGGTCTTCAGTTACTACTGGGCACTGGATGGGCCCGAATGGGTGGGCCATCACCAACTGGGGGTGATGCAACGTATCTCCACACCTGGGTGCTGAGGCTGCTGTCAAGACGCTCCCCGAGCTTGGGCTTTTACTGCCCTGGGAGCAACAAAGTGGTGAGCAGCCCGTGCCATCGCTTGAGCAGCGTGGGGAAAGGCTGGCTGGAGCAGTCCTACGAGTGCAGCTCTGCTGCCAAGGCTGTGGCCAATGTTCACAGGACACTGGAATAGAAGTAAGTTCCATAAGTGCAAGTTACTTCCATTACTTCTGTATTCAAACACATTAACAAGTGTTTGACGATGAAATGGGCTTTATTTTTTTGTGTAGGAAAGTGGAAAAAGCAAGCACCGTGCAGGGGATCGGGGTTAGGAGGCTGCTATTTAGCAATGGAGTCACTGTGAAACAGAGCTGTGTCTCACCCTGAATGCGTGACCCCAGCAGGACTGCGCCCGTGCCGTGGGGTGCAACCCCTGGCAGCACCTTCCTCCTCCATAAGCCCACCATGTGCTCTTGACTGGTTATTATTTTCATTTTACTGGCTAATATTCCTTTATATCCATCTCTAACAAGCAAATTTTTATTTAATGATTCATCCTATATATTGTCTTTTCCATCTTTCTGCTAATCCTGTATCTCTGCTTCTGCCTCAGCCCTCACCCCAGCGTCCAAAAATGCCTTTACTGTCATCATAGTGTGAGATATTTGTGTTGTGCTTCAAAATGTGAGTTTTGAAGAGCAGTCACAAGAACTTACATTTTCTAGCCCAATGAGAAATGCGTACTGAGTATTCTAAGCAGTATTGAGTATTCTTCAAGCATCCTAGGTGTTTATAGCCCTGAGACTTTACAGCATTTCAGCAGTTTTTAAAATTTTCTGTATATGCTAACTCTTCTGCTATAGCAATTTTTAAATTTTTCAAAATAATTTGTGTGCCTATTTTATATCTAAAGGCAGAGGAAACGTTGTTTTTACTCTTTCTAATTTTTTTCTGCTACGGCAGCATTCAGATTCCTGGACTGTTGGAATATTTCATGACGCTGCTGAGGTACTTGCAAACTGCCAGTGGAGCTTCATTGAAAAAAGAGTCGGTGTATTAGCAACAAATCACAGGGGAGGCAGCCGGAACGATTCCTCGGACCGTGTGGATTTGAAATAACTTGAAGAAGAAGCCGGTGAAAAAGCATTTTGGGTCATCTGTTTCTCTCCGTATACAAGAGGGGAGAAACAGATGCCTCATCTGGGATGAAGCAAATTATCGGACTAAAAAAAATATTAATAAAATGTTCTTGAGACCATAGAGCTCCTCCCTGGCTCTCCAACATCAGAGCGTAATAAAATGTGTTTTGGCAAAGAGGCTCTGACCAGTCTCCCTGCTATAGCCATTAATACTGCCAAAATGGGCTTTGTGCAGTTACTGCAAGGTCTCTTTATAGCCACCCTGCTTCTGTCACCTATCACTGTCGGTTTTGTGTGATATAAAACCTCTTCTATCCAGGTTGTGGCTCTTTATCCACAAATGTGCTCGTACAGAATCCCAAGCAACAGCTTGCTTCCCAGATTGAGAGTTCAGGTTATCGCCTTCACAAAGCAGGAATTATACTTGATTTCAATACAACATCGGGCCTGTTTTCTCTCTCTTGAAAAATTAAAGCTTGTTTGACTGTAAAGAAAAATATAGAACACTTTATTATTTGAAATAAAATACTTTAGAAAATAAAATACTTCAAAACATAAGATAATTTAGTGCTTCTTTTTAATCTGATAAAGCTAATTCACGATTTGCCTTTAAGTGCCACTTTAAGTTGTGAGGAATCCTGTTCGCTAACAATATGTATCTGCTTCTTTTCCAGGTGCCCCTTATGATAGGCACAGCACAGTAACTCTGGAGGCACCTGGCCTGGCCACGTGTATTTATACAGTGACTGTGTTAACAGCTGTGTTTCCAACACATGGCATTGCTTCCACTGCACGTAACCGGGAGCAAAAGTGGAAATACCAGTTCCTGCTCTCACCTTTCCCAAGATTTAATTTGTAAGCCAACTTTTTTTTTTAAATATTCAGAGACAGGAGAGATGATGCAACGAGCAGCACATCGTCACATGCCCACGGGGAAGACAATTACGAATTTCAAGTGCAAAACTTTCCTACTGTCTGTCTGATTGTGAAGGAGAAAACAACAATTGCACAGAGGGAGGAGAGGCTACTGAAGGAATGGTATCTATTTTCCTGGAAGTGCTGCAAAGACTGGTGAATATTTTTATAAAAGTAATTTAGACCTACAGTAGCACTTTTTCAGTAAGTAAAATATCTGTGTCTTGAGGCACTAAATATTATCAGATGTTTGTGTTATTGAATACCATTGTTTAAGCAGCTACTGAAAAATATGGTAGAGTAAAAAGCAAAAGGAAAACTGTAGGATAATTTCACGATACTCATTCATGGATCTGTATCTCTTTTGTGTTAATTCCTTCTCAAGGAAGCAATTCCATGTGGAATAGACTGTAGTGGACAGCGCTGTGGCAGCCATGGTTAATCACAGAATGTGAGTTATGAAGAGCTGTTTAACAGCTGAGGGATTAGCTGGGCCAGGAAGGCAGTGAGGAGCAGCCTAACAATTTCAAAGGAAGCTGAAACGATAGAACATGTGGATGAATGCGGACAGAGTGCCAGAGACAGCAGAGATGGGTTGTAAATAAAAATGGGGAAAGAAAAAGGTTGGGTATGTTGCTGAAGCAGAAGGCAAAACCGGTATTTATTTTTTTTTTTAGCAGAAGTTTGTGCAGTTCTGTGGAATGCAGTTTGAAGTTGTTCATAGGTCAGAGTGGTGGAATTAAGTGTTGCAGGGAGTTGCAGAGAACTGTAGTTACAAACAACATCAGGAAGAGTTGCATGCATGGGACAGAACAAATGGTGTGACACCATCTGTGTCAGTGCAGGAACAAAGGATTCTGTATGTGCAACTGATAGACTGCTTGTAGGTTCAGGCTGTGGGTATGCCACCATCCACTGTGATTTGTTCTGCAATTGGCTAAAAAACAACCCAGGTATTTCTTTAGGATACACTCAGGATCCCATTCTCATGCTTGGTGAATGAATGCAGAGGGTGGAGTGTGCTGGCTGCTGCTCCAGTTCTTTTGAACTCCCTGATGAGGCATCTTTTTCCTGCTGTTTCCCAAGGGCCCAGCCTTGTTTTCACCCTTCGGATCATTTTCTTCAAGCAGTCTCTTATTCTGCCCTTTGTTTATCCTTTTTTAAAGTTGCCAGACCCACCCCCCTTTCTACTGACCAGAACCAGTCTGACTTGACCCAGCAGAGGGTGGCCTCAGCTTTGGCACTTGTGTCTTTAGCATAGTCTGGGGAGGATGTCACTGGACCCACACCTCTTCTCCTGACCCCCTGGAGGATGTCCAGCTCCCACCACCTCTGTCCAGAACCGGGATGTGGCATTGGTGGGGCATCCCCCTCTCTTCAGCACTCCACCATTTCACCGCAGTGTCAGGCATGTTCCCTCTCAGTGATGCCGTGCAGGAAGGCCTTCTGCTCGATTAACCCAGTGTCTCATCAGGCTGAGCAGCAGAGCAGGCTTTTTACTCCTATCCATACCATCAACCAGCTATAGATATAAGCACCTTATAGAGGCAGTAACATGTTATCACTCCACCCCAACGATTGCAAAGTGCTGGTGCCATCGCGGTGTTCCCCACCCCTTTTTTTTTTTTTCCTGACAGGATTAGACTCTTGCTTTTCCACCTTTCAAAACTAGAAGTAGTGGGACAACTTTACTTCACATGTGAGATTAGAAGCTCAGGGTCAGTTTTGGTAGTCGGTACAACTGTTGGCTTCCTGTAATCACCAAACTGTGAAAGTCTTGTCATCTTAGGGAGAAGCAGGGTCCTGCAGGTAGCCTTTGGGGCTGTCTTTTATCGGCTTTTTAGGGCAGCCTAAAAAAAAACCCCTTAGCAAAGGGCTAGCAAAGAAGGCTGGCTTTTCTCTCATAAATAAAGTATCCATGTTTCATACCAAGACAAGTAGTTGGGTCCAGATCATCCAAAACTCTCACCCTTGAAGAAACTGTCACCAAACAAGCACTCAGCAGCTGCACGTTATCCCCAACTAATAGTTATAATTGATGGGATCAAGGAGCCCACGAAAGGACTTTTGAAAGAACCTTTCTGGTGGAGATGGGTTTGTTCCTCAGAGTTCCCCACGTGTTTGGACTCGACACGGGCTGATTCACCACCGAATGAGTGAAGTATTTCTCACCTCCTCCCCTGTGTACATTTACATCCCTGGGTGATACACTTGGCTCAGTCAGCCTGCGCAGGGAGCACAGGGCTCCGACAGATCCCCCTCTGCTGCCGATGCACAGGATTTGAGGATTCCCACAAGGTGAATAGGTATACACAGACACCGAAAAAACAGCCAGCAAAGCAGCTTGAGCTGGAGATCTGGTACATTTTCACACCTTTTCCCCTCAGAGTCCCTTCCCATCCCCAAGTCGCAGTACACTGCCTGAGAGGCAACACAAATGGCCAATTATTAGGACTACAGGATAAAAGGATTTACATTTTAAGTTGTAAGTGAAGTAAGCAAATAAGTAAGCAAAGTAAATCAGTCTACTAGGCCTGTGTTTACCTTTAGTACTTGTTCTTCTGTTCAATCCCTAGCCTTCTGAAAGTCTCTCACAGACCAAAAAAACCGAGGGCAGCTGAAGAATGAAGGGCAGGACATGGTGATCCTTAAAATGAGGGATTAATGACAGCTTTTAAAGGAGTTGAAAGAAATATTTCAAACAAATTAACTCTACCCTTGTGTAAGTGAAGGTTAGTGTTCATACAGTCCGTGTGTGTCAGTGAACACCCATACCCGCCCGCAGAGGAGAGCAGTGGGCTCAGGGGAGACGCAGCAGACTCGGGCACGGGGGTTTCCTCACCACACCGGTGTGTGGGTCACCAGCACGGTGGCCTGGCGGGGCTCTGCCACTGGGCTTTTTAGTAAAACAGGCCCTGCTGTCAAAGGCACGGCAGATGACAGGGAAGGAATCTAAAGGAATCTAAACCCGACCCTCCCGAGCGCAGTGTCACCTCGAGTGTTCTGTCCCTGGCACTTGGCGATGGATGGAAACCTGGGCAGGGCTGGCAGGGCAAGGGAACGCTCCTCCTGGCTCCAGAGGCACAGAGATTGGGAGGAGAGAGGTTTTGATGGAGGTTTTTGTGGTGGTTTCCATCGAATCAATGTGCGGTTCAGCACATCAGCGGGACCCGCAAGGGCAGTGAGGTGACTGAGAGAGCTGGGACTCTTTAGTCTGGAGAAGAGAAGGCTGAGGTGAGACCTTATCAATGCCTACAAGTATCTCAAGGGTGGGTTGAAGGAGGAGGGAGCCAGACTCTTTTCAGTGGTTCCCACTGAGAGGACGAGGGGCAACAGGCACAAGTTGGAACATAAGAGGTTCCACTCAAATATGAGGAGAAACTTCTTCACAGTGAGGGTGACAGAGCCCTGGAAGAGGCTGCCCAGGGAGGGTGTGGAGATTTTCAAGACCCGCCTGGATGCTCCTGAGTAACATGGTCTAGCTCTAGGCAATCCTGCTTCAGCAGGGGAGTTGGACTAGATGATCTCTATGGTCCCTTCTGTGATAAATGATTTAGCCTCAAACAGGATTCCAATTAAAGTTTACAATTTATTAAACGAGTAAAGACAAGCAAACAGCGCTGAGTGCACCGGCAGTCTCCACTCAACCAAGGCACACACGTGCAAGTCCTGTTTTGGGTTTATATCGCTTCTCCTAATACATATTCATACAAAGGTTGGCCTATGCTAATGATCTCCAGGGATAGGCGTGTCTTCTTTGGCGCATGCCCTCCTCACCTTCTGGAATCTTCTATGAGTTTTCCTTGGCTCGCCCCCAGGACGAGCCCCGACTCCAGGCGTGCGCCCCACAGACCCCTCCCCCTCAGCACCACGCGGCCAGTAACAAAAACTGGTTTCCTTAGGGGTTCTTACAAGAAACAGAAACTACATACATACAATCCCGCTTCTCCCAAGCCCATGGTCATACAAGGACAAACAGAACAGTTAAAGATATTAACACGAATCAGGTGAACACGTTTCACACTTCCAACTCTACAATTCAGTGAAATTCAGTGATCCCTGGTCTCTGCTAGGGAGACCCTTCCCTCCCCAGCCCACACCGATGCTTTGCAGCTGGCTCAGGAACGTGACTCAAGAGACATCCTCCGTGTTCCAAAAAATACTTTTTGTATTACCTAACAGTTTCTGTAGCTACTGTTGTGCAGTGGGCCTCCGCCGGGCCCGAGCGGCTGGAGGGCGCTGAGGGGCTCCAGCGTACACTTGGCTCAGTCAGCCTGCGCAGGGAGCACAGGGCTCCGACAGATCCCCCTCTGCTGCCGATGCACAGGATTTGAGGATTCCCACAAGGTGAATAGGTATACACAGACACCGAAAAAACAGCCAGCAAAGCAGCTTGAGCTGGAGATCTGGTACATTTTCACACCTTTTCCCCTCAGAGTCCCTTCCCATCCCCAAGTCGCAGTACACTGCCTGAGAGGCAACACAAATGGCCAATTATTAGGACTACAGGATAAAAGGATTTACATTTTAAGTTGTAAGTGAAGTAAGCAAATAAGTAAGCAAAGTAAATCAGTCTACTAGGCCTGTGTTTACCTTTAGTACTTGTTCTTCTGTTCAATCCCTAGCCTTCTGAAAGTCTCTCACAGACCAAAAAAACCGAGGGCAGCTGAAGAATGAAGGGCAGGACATGGTGATCCTTAAAATGAGGGATTAATGACAGCTTTTAAAGGAGTTGAAAGAAATATTTCAAACAAATTAACTCTACCCTTGTGTAAGTGAAGGTTAGTGTTCATACAGTCCGTGTGTGTCAGTGAACACCCGTACCCGCCCGCAGAGGAGAGCAGTGGGCTCAGGGGAGACGCAGCAGACTCGGGCACGGGGGTTTCCTCACCACACCGGTGTGTGGGTCACCAGCACGGTGGCCTGGCGGGGCTCTGCCACTGGGCTTTTTAGTAAAACAGGCCCTGCTGTCAAAGGCACGGCAGATGACAGGGAAGGAATCTAAAGGAATCTAAACCCGACCCTCCCGAGCGCAGTGTCACCTCGAGTGTTCTGTCCCTGGCACTTGGCGATGGATGGAAACCTGGGCAGGGCTGGCAGGGCAAGGGACCGCTCCTCCTGGCTCCAGAGGCACAGAGATTGGGAGGAGAGAGGTTTTGATGGAGGTTTTTGTGGTGGTTTCCATCGAATCAATGTGCGGTTCAGCACATCAGCGGGACCCGCAAGGGCAGTGAGGTGACTGAGAGAGCTGGGACTCTTTAGTCTGGAGAAGAGAAGGCTGAGGTGAGACCTTATCAATGCCTACAAGTATCTCAAGGGTGGGTTGAAGGAGGAGGGAGCCAGACTCTTTTCAGTGGTTCCCACTGAGAGGACGAGGGGCAACAGGCACAAGTTGGAACATAAGAGGTTCCACTCAAATATGAGGAGAAACTTCTTCACAGTGAGGGTGACAGAGCCCTGGAAGAGGCTGCCCAGGGAGGGTGTGGAGATTTTCAAGACCCGCCTGGATGCTCCTGAGTAACATGGTCTAGCTCTAGGCAATCCTGCTTCAGCAGGGGAGTTGGACTAGATGATCTCTATGGTCCCTTCTGTGATAAATGATTTAGCCTCAAACAGGATTCCAATTAAAGTTTACAATTTATTAAACGAGTAAAGACAAGCAAACAGCGCTGAGTGCACCGGCAGTCTCCACTCAACCAAGGCACACACGTGCAAGTCCTGTTTTGGGTTTATATCGCTTCTCCTAATACATATTCATACAAAGGTTGGCCTATGCTAATGATCTCCAGGGATAGGCGTGTCTTCTTTGGCGCATGCCCTCCTCACCTTCTGGAATCTTCTATGAGTTTTCCTTGGCTCGCCCCCAGGACGAGCCCCGACTCCAGGCGTGCGCCCCACAGACCCCTCCCCCTCAGCACCACGCGGCCAGTAACAAAAACTGGTTTCCTTAGGGGTTCTTACAAGAAACAGAAACTACATACATACAATCCCGCTTCTCCCAAGCCCATGGTCATACAAGGACAAACAGAACAGTTAAAGATATTAACACGAATCAGGTGAACACGTTTCACACTTCCAACTCTACAATTCAGTGAAATTCTGTGACCCCTGGTCTCTGCTAGGGAGACCCTTCCCTCCCCAGCCCACACCGATGCTTTGCAGCTGGCTCAGGAACGTGACTCAAGAGACATCCTCCGTGTTCCAAAAAATACTTTTTGTATTACCTAACAGTTTCTGTAGCTACTGTTGTGCAGTGGGCCTCCGCCGGGCCCGAGCGGCTGGAGGGCGCTGAGGGGCTCCAGCGGGGCGGGTGCTGCAGCCCCAGGGCGGGCCGTCCGTGGGTTTATCCCCGCGGGCCCCACGTCTGTGGCAATTCCTGCCCAGGGGCGGCCCGAGGGGGCACCGCAGCCCGGGCCAGCCCTCACCGCCCCTCACCTCACCTCACCGCCCCGCCCCGCGGGGGACGACGGGAGGGGACGCGCTGGCGTCACGCGGTCACGTGCCCGTGCGCCGGCGTCAGTCGAAGATGGCGGCGGCCGTGAGCGGGCTGTTGTTGCGAGCCCTGCGCGCCTCCTACCCGCTCCCCGCCGCCCGCGGCCTCCGCACCGCCCTCCCCCGGCCCGCCTTCGCCAAGGAGCTCTTCCTGGGGTCGCTGCGCAAGGTCGGCAGCGGGCCTCGGGGGCGCCCGGTGGGATCTCGGGGCGGGGGGAGCGGGCGGGTCGGGGTAGGCCGC